TCAGACTGTGAGATCAGATCCTAAGGGTACATTAGGATCCTGGGGGTTAAAGTCGAGTTAAGATACACAACTTCAGCTACGTTAATTGTGTAGTTGAAATCGAAGTAGCTAAATTCAGCATTTGGTGCTGTCCACACAGCAGGAAGTTGAAAGCAGAACACTTTTCCTTCAACTTCCCTTACTCCTCATGAAATGAGGGTTACAGAAGTCGGAGTAAGAAGACTGTTATTTCAAAATTATTTCAAAATAATGGGCTTGCTGTGTAGATGCGCATGAGTTATTTCAAAATAAGCGTGCAGTGTAGGCATAACCTGACGTTACTAGAGCTATGTGATTTATACTAGATGAGGACCTGGCCTGGAAAGTTTAAAATTAAAAACAAATGTTTAGCATGGTTAAACATTTATTACTGTCCTATTGCAGCTAAAATGGACTCAAAATCTCCTGGCCATAATCAAAGGTAGTGTAAATTGGCATAGCTCTACTGAGATCAAGGAAGTTAAATTAATATGTATAGCAGAAGATCTAGTTCTCTCAGTTTTAGCTGAAAGAGAGTTGTTGTCCTATCACTTTCAGAGAATCTTCCTTCCCCCCCTGCCTTGAAAAACTGTTCCAGACAGCCAATAAAGCAACATTTGCTGTCTCCAAACTTTCATTTAGATCCATTATCTACTTAGTAGGAAGCCTAAAGCTAAAATAATCTGAAAGTCTTGGCATGTTGTTCAGGTTAGTTTAAAATGCATTAATTAATAGCTGCTTAAAATCCCAGATCCTTAGTAGATTATATGTAGTCATTAACAATTACAAGTAAATTAGCAGTATTTGAAAGTTACTTTTTCCTTTTTACTTTTCCTGGCACTTTTATCTATTGTATTGGGCCTGCTGAGGAGGCTGTTGATAGTGGATGTTGCATTTCAGTTTAAGATGCCTTCAAACGTTTACTACTACTTTGTAGACAAAAGAACTTGTCTGAGGAGAAGAGCTATTTTGTTTTGCCACCTCTTTTTTCCCCCACGGTGAATGTTTGCTAGATTTCAAAATTGATTCTGGATCAGGACAACCACAACTTCCAGTAACAGAAATCATTCCCCTTCCCCCAAAATACAGTGATGAGTGGTATATATCATAATCCTAATGCATATCCTAACAGCCGTCCCCAGATTTTCCAAAGTATCACAGCTCTTTTTTTCCCCTTTGCAAAACAGACTACTAGAATTTGATTAATCTTGCGCAGAGAGGCAACCAGCTTTTTCTTCAAGGTAGAATTACTATTCCAGCCTCTGGGGCTATCACCACAGTAGGATAAGTGTAGCTTCAGAGGGATGCACCCTAGGCCAGGGCTTCTTAAACTTTGGTAGGAAAAAAAAGCCAGGCACAAATATTGTCATGCAAAAATATAGGAAATTCTATGAAAACAGCTCTTACTCTACATCAGTGACATGAACACACGGATAAATACAAGTTAAAATGACAAAGCAAAAGAAGAAAAAGCTTGACATTACTAGTCAGAACAAACTTTGAGCCTGATCACAAACTCCTTATCCAGACTAAATTATTCAGACTCCTTATTCAGTCCCTATTTAACTTCAATATGAGCTCTGGGTTGGGTCCTATTGCATATCTAATTTAGCATTATACTATTTACACATCATGCACATCAAAATTGTGATGTGCTAGTAATTAAATACACACTTATTTTGTATGTTTTAGTGGGTCTGCCAAGTCACCACAATGCAAAAATGCTGGTAGAAAGTGGTACTTTTCAGAATGAGACAGTAATGCCAACACATTACTCCCACAAGCTTTTTTGTAGTGCAAAACACCACAGTCCACAGGTAATGAATACTCAATATTATATGAAGAATGTCACTAAAACACTTGGATAGCAGGGCACAGAGAAAAAAAACACACCTAACATGTAAAAATTGTCGCAGAATATATACTTCCCTCCTCCACATCTTCCCACAATATAATTCATGGGTTTACACAAGTTTTTTCCACCCCAAAAGTAAAAGGAATCAAAATAACTTTGTAAAAGTTGCTGTATTCCAGTGGTCACCAACCACTGGATCGGGATCTACTGGTAGATCTTGGAGCCTTTGACAGGTAATCCTGACTTGTTTGGCCAGGAAGCTATCAAGTGTTGGCACTTCATCTGCCCCTTTCAGCATTGCCATGCTGCTCTTGCCCTCTGCCATGGAGCTGCGCCCCACCCCTGGGAGCCTCTTGCTTGCAGTGCAGGGCACAGAAAGAACAGGAAGGGGATCTGATGTCACGGGGGGGGGGGGTCGGCCCCGGGGCCCCCCTTCCCCCCCCCCCCCGCGTGCCGGGAAACCCCCCGCGCGCCCCCCCGGGGGCCAGCAGAGCAGCTAGTGCACTTCTGGAATTACCAGAAGTGGCGCTAAGCTGCGGGACTTCTGAAGCCGATACTACCTCCTTTTTCTCTTGAGGTAAGTAGTGGGGCTTCTGGGGGGTGGAGGGAAATGGGGGCGGGGTGGACAGGACGCCTCGCGAGTGACTGGTCGAGGCCTCGAAATCGATCAGTAGCTCGCGATCAACCTGTTGGTGACCACGGCCTTAGGGTATGTCTACATAGCAAAATATCAGCCCTTATTTCAAAACAACATTCCTAGTGTCTACACAGCCAAACCGGAGTGCTTATTTCGAATTTGGTAACCCTCATTCCACGAGGAATAACGCCAAATTTGAAATAGCTATTTTGAAATAAGTGCTGTGTAGACATTTATTTCGAATTAGGGGGCCTCCAGTCTTCCCAGGGTGCCCTGGTGGCCACTTCAGCCTCAACCAGGAACACTCCTCTCCCTTCCCCTCCTCCCTGGAGCCTTAAAGGGGTAGACTCTGGCCACGGTGCCTGTGCCAGCTCCAAGCCTGCCAGCCCAGAGCCAGCAGTCACTGCCCTGAAGCCCCTGGCAGCCAGCCCTGCACCGCTCCCCAGGAGCAGTCCTTCAGCTCCCAGGAGCCTGCCAGGGCTTGGAGAAGGTTGGCCCTTCCTGGTCCAGGGTGGAGATCATGGACCTTATTCAGGTTTGGGGTGGATGTCCCCAACGTCCATGATCTCCGCACTAGATGGAGGAATGCGGCCGTCTATGGCAGGATAGCTGCCAGCCTGGCCACCAAAGGTTACATGTGAACCCAGGAGCAGGTTTGCATGACAATCAAGTTGGTCCAGCGAGCCCCCCCACCCCTGAGCCTTGAGCTTTCCCTCCCCCTTCTTCCCCTTGCTTCCCCCTTCCAGCTCCCTCTTCCCAAGTTTCCCCCTCCCCCTCCTACCCTCTTTCTTCTCCTCTCCCATCTCCTTTCCCCAGTCTCACCAGAGTTTCATTCCCCCCACCCCCAGTTTTGTTACATAAAGAGAGTTTGTGTACATGAAAATACGTACATTTTATTTTACATCAGGAAGGAGGGTTAGGGAGGGGTAAGTGAAAGGACGTGAGGGAAGAACGAGGCTCAAGCCCCTAGTGGGGCAGACCAGGGAGGCTTTTAGTGCTCCTCAGGGTGGAAGTTCTTCTGCAGGGCTTCCTGGATACTGACAGACCCCGCTGGACCTCTTGGATGGCAGCCTGCAGAAAGTGCAGCCAGGCTCACAGCAACGCATCCAAGAGAAGCACCAGAGAGCCCGGGGCAGTTCGGGCTCCATGTTGCAGAGTGCTGTGGTGTCCTGAGTGAGGGCAACCAGAGCATACAGAGACAAAATGTTTTGCTGTCCCTCAGCGAAGTAGGCAAGCAAGCAGGGAAAGCTGAGAACTGGCTGTCTGGGGGAGGGTCCCTTTAAGCACAGGCCTCAGATAGCCTCAGGCAGTAGCCACACAAAGTAACTCCTGACTTGATACTCTGCCGGACCGGATTCCGGCCGGCCTTAAATGCGATTCAGAGTCCAGTCAGTGTGGACGCGCTATTTCAAAATATCAAAACGCTATTTTGAAATGCATTGTGTGTAGATGCATTATTTCGAAATAAGCTATTTCAAATTAACTATTTTGAAATAGCTTATTTCAAAATAACTCTGTAGTGTAGACATACCCTTAATATGCAAAAAATTTCAGAAACTCCTAGGACTGAGTCCTAAATAATTAAATTTGAGGAACTATACAAAGAACCCATAATTTAAAATTATATATCAAATATGTATTACTAATATTTTAGACAGTTAAAATAAAAAGCTAAAGGTTAAAAGTCATTTTCATCATTCATGTGTCTACTAGAAGTGAACAAGGGACAGAATTTTGTTATACATAATTTCAGAAATGTTTGTAGTTTAATTGCCTGTTTTTCTTTTTTTAAACTTACTATTTTTTCTTTTTTTCTACTTAATAGATTTTTGCTCATAACTAAATTTTAATATGTATACTTATATAGCTAAATACGATATTTTTCTTGATTTGAAAGTGCTCATACTTTTTTTCCTAATCAAAATGTAGCTTTCACTGTCCCTCCATATTTAATCTGTTTTTATCTTAAATTCAAGTCAGTTCTCTTGTTCAATTTATGCCTTTAACTCCATGTTTACAAATAGACCTGTTTCTATTGAGCTTTGTTTTCTGGATCTCATGCATTGACACTGCACTGATATGTTGGATTGCACAGACTGCGGAGGAATCGTTATAATAAAAGTATATTTTTTACTGAATTAAGAAAAAAAGAAAACATGGATAGCATTTTCTAAAGATAATAGGAAAAAAAACCTCCCAACCAAACCAAAAATTTGGTATTAATACTATTGACAAAGATATTTGACTTGGGTACTTTTATTCACAAACCCCCTTGGTTACAGACATTATTCTAAGATATGTGATTAGAACAGTAGGTCATGCCATGATCAGTTAATTCACACCATTGCCCATTATTTTTGTTGAAGCACTTCATGTCCCTTGAGAGGGGACAGAATTTAAGTCTGGCACACAGAAATTAAGTGTGAATATATTGTGCTCTGAAAGTACGTAATTATTTATATTTCTTTTAAAAAGCCTTAAACTTCTTACCTGAAAGTTGCCAAAACAGCTTCCTCCAGGTAGGGTGACATAACTGACAAAAGGAGGACCAGGTGAGTTCAATGATTCATACACCACTGTGCCTTCACTAGAAAATACAGCTCTCTGCTTCTGTTTGTTCTCCCAGAATTCCTGCAGCATTGCTACAACATTCACTATAAAGACAGAAAAGTGATGAATATTGTGTGCAGTATAGACATTTTACATTTAAGTTCATTTGCCAGCTTTGAACATAAAAAATGATAAAGTACAAATTGAAAATCATTACAGTACTCCTGCACTACAACAGTTTCAATTTCAGGGATGGGGTTTTCAAAGTTTCCTAAGAAGTCTTAGATACTCAACTCTCATTCAAAGTGAATAAAACTTGGATGCCTAACTCCTTTGGAAACCCAGGCCACAAAGATACTATAAAGCTGCTATTTTCTGGCAACTACCGTTTTTTACAATCTGTGAAAAAATGTGATCAATTCCTACTTTAGACCATGCCCTACTCAAATAACATGCCAGTTTACCACTGTCAAGAACAGACTTATTGGAGGGTTATTGTAAAAACACAGGATGTTATCCATTTCCTATGATTGCCTGCCTGAATGGCCATAACAGGGAAAGCAATGAGAATATAGAAATGAGAGGGAAAAAAAAGGAGTAGGTTCTTACACATTGGACCTCCAGAATGATATGGACAAAAGAAATCCTTTTTGCATAACTAATGGAATAAGAAACAGATGGTTATCGCAACATGCTTTGACATAAAGTGCATCAGAGTGAAACTCAAACCACAGAAACTAACTTCTACTTCTCTAAATTTCAGCTCTATTTCTCCATCGCCCTTGAGACTGTTAGAATTTGTGAACTGCGTACTTAGTGATCGATGCTACCTGCTGCTCATCTCTGATATTCATCACAATGATCCAGAAGAATGAAGTGACTAGATGAAATTGGTGACCTATGTTCAGCTAGGGTAATTATCCTCTTAATTCCAACTTATTTCAGCTTTGAGTGATGAGTTTGTGCAAATATCAAATCTTTAGAACAGATAAGTGCCGGCAGAACAGACCACAGAACCTAAGGCAGCCTAGATCAAGGAAAACATTAAGAGCTTCTCCCTGATCCAGAGTGTGATATATCTTTTACATCGCAAATTGCTTCACTCTCTCTCTTACATTCATGTTTGGTAACAGATTCAGTTTAAAAGCCATTAAGTGAAAGATGATATCTAGGAATAAACTTCATGCATGTTAAATGTAAAACTTCTAAGCTTTGAGCTTGATGGTTTGATAGAAGGAAAGTGCCACATTTATTGGAGAAATTGTATTGATATTAAATCTTTATTGAGAAGGTCATGTTTAGGTTGAAAAGAAATGAGCTTTAAATAGAGCACCAGAATAAAAACAAATGACAAGGCTTATGACATCCCTATAAAGAAATTGTGGCCTGTCTCCTCTTGAGAGAAATTGGTATTTAACTGTCACAAGTTTTAGTTTTGTTTTAAGAAAAATCAAATGTTTATGCCATGGATCCAATATCAATAAGATGAATACCACCCACAGACCTTCTTTAGGCCCCGATATATTTGTGTCATAAAAAGTTAATTTAAGAAAACATCAACTGATATCAGCCTAGTCTTCAGGCCAACTATTCTATAGCCTTTCAGATCAGAGCCATAGCTGCCTCCTCATCAGAAACAATTTAATATTTTAGGCTGGCATTTTCAAAGGAGCATAAGAGTTTGGTGCTTAACTCCTACTAAATTTAAACTAAATGACGATCCAGATTACCAACACTATCTCTTCAAAATGTTGAGCACCAATAGTAAGGCTAGCCTTCTAAATCAGTTTTGTATTTCCTTTTTCGTATCTTTCATATCTTTTGTCAGTTTCATAGCAAGGTTGTGACAGTTCATTTTTTATTTTTTTCTGCTATTACTAGTTCAGGATTTGGACAGCCTATGAATACTTCTTGGTTTAAACTTTTCACTACATTTTGTGATATCTTCAGCTGTTTTAAGAATTTATCTACACAATTTTCTCCCTAAGCACCGAAGAGATTCTTCTTTGTCACAGTAAAGGGCTAAGAAAATAAGGCAGAGTTTGCTTGTTGAAGTTTTGAAACTTAACTCTGGCTGTCACTTTTTTCTCCCATCCAAATAAATATTGATGGGGACATCTAACCACGAGAATGTGTTATAGCCTATCAGGACAAAGATATAGAAAAAGGGAGTATATAACTACTTAGTAGTAATATTTTGTCAGCATCCATAAGTTGTTCAACACTATTCACACACAGACTAAATTTACCATACTAAAGAGTTTACAATCCAAGAAAATGTAGGTTTTGTGTACACACAAAATAGTACCAATTTAACTCAAGTTGTCATTTGATTCCTGATGTAGTTAAAGCAGTGTGACTTTGTGTGCGGACAGTCTCAGAGTACGTCTAGACTGCAGCACTATTTTGGGATACCGGAAGTATCCCGAAATAGCAATGCTGCCTCTTTAAACGTGCTATTCCAGCATCCTATGTAGCCTTCATTGGTTTAAGGGATTTGTTGGAATAGTGCCTTATTTTGAAATCTGGCACTGTCTACACAGTGCCAAATTTCAAAGTAAGCTCTTTCGACCTAGTCTGGTAATAAGCTCGTAATAAGTGGGAGAGGTCTAGGTTGGATATTAGGAAAAACTCTTTCACTAGGAGGATGGTGAAGAACTGGAATGGGTTACCTAGGGAGGTGGTGGATTTAGTTGGGGTTGGTTCTGCTTTGGGCAAGGGGCTAGACTCAATGACCTCCTGAGGTCTCTTCCAGCCCTATGATTCTAGCATAGCACAAATTGCATAGCTTATTCCAACAGAAGGGTACTATCTAGATGCACCCTTAGAGTGGTTTAAAATGGGCTTGTAACAGTTTTAGCTTGTAAGAATAAATTTACAGCCACAAAGTAAACACAGAGCAGTTTTAAAATGGATATGAGTTTACACTCAGAATTTGAAATGGTTTAACTAACCAGTTTAAATTAAACCAATGCCATTTCTGCGTAGATGAAAGATTTTATTATCTCATGTTCATATATATTTGTAAAATGTTATCACAAGTTGTTCTAAACATATCTATTCCAAGAAGAGGGCATTTCATTTTCTTTTTTAAAAAGAAGGATGTAACTGAACCACAGAGAGACATCTTCCGTTGTCCACTTTGGAATAGTTCCCTTGTATCTTATAGTAATCCAAGGAGCACGTAGAGGTATTCAGAAACCTTTTTATAACTATCAGGCTGTTTAATCCCTCCTGCAACAATTATTATAGCAATATGTATAGTTTATTCTGAACTTTAATGAACATTTTCATTGTAATACATGTATTATTTACTTTTACATTTTGGATGAAGTTTTGTCAAATCAACTGATACTTACCCATTTTTTAAACACATGTTTTTCCATGTTGTTTAGGAGTTCTGTGCATAAGCAATATAAATTTTAAACAATCTAGCAAGTGTACAAATTAAAAAGCTAGACTTTTTTTTCCAAATGTTAGAAGTGTTGAACACACTAAACTTAGCATTGCATTCTACATCTTATTTTGAATTAATGTCATTCACTCTAGTCATTAACTTTTCAAAATACAAAAAGCAAATTAGAGTATGTATGTGCATTTTCTAATGGTTTAATTACTTCCGCTCTAAAATCTCTTATTCAGTGTATTCTAACTGCTCTCAATCAGATAAAGTAAGACATAGGATGAAATCCTGGCTTGATTGAAATCAATGCCAAATGTCCCATGATTTCAACCACATTTGCATTTCCCTTTTTCTTTTAATCAATTATAAACATATAACACAAATATCTAAGCAATATTAGGATCAGTTTACAATAAAATACAATAATTTATCTTTAATTTACCTCAATTTGTGAGCATTATAAGGGTTTCAAGGCCAGTGCCTGTGATGTAATTTTAGTTATAAAAGAATAGAAAGAACACCCTTTTACTGCACATTCTTTACAGTTTGTTGCTTTACTAGCCAAGGCTCTGTGGAATAAGCAGCAAACTAGACCAAACTTCTGTGGTAACAGTCTCCTGATTTCTGGCACATGAATACTCAATTTTACAACAAACTGGAAAACACATAGCAGTGTCAAATTAATTACAAAATATTGAATACAATTATGACTAGCACAATCAATGTAATCCATATTATTTTAGAAAACAGTATGCCAGAAAGCACACAATGACTTCAGACAAATCTTATTGTCTGGTGCTAGGAAACACAAGGGGTCAATTCTTTTGAAATCTCATGTCTGCTAGGCTCAGGCTAGCATGGCAAAGTGGGGGAAGGGCGAGATTTTGTTGGGAAAATTGGGACAAAGAACGGAGATCCTAATAAAAGCAGCCCCGATAAATAGGAAGGGAGACTGAAGACATGTCTTCAGTGCACAGTTAACTGGGGCTCTTACACAGGTGTTAGCCCAACTGCCACTCCTCCATGATCCACACAGAAACCCTTTAACCTAAGATTACAGGTGTTTTAAACCCAGCTAGCTTACTTGGCTGAAGGTATAGGTTAAAACCCAAGTTATGATTTAACTCAGACCTGAATCCACTCACTTTGCAGTGAAGATGCAGGCAAAAATCTCTCTTGTTCCAATCCTCTGAACAACGGACACGTTTTCCTGCAAGAGTATCTTAGGACAAAGAATCATGGGAAACACCCCCATAAATGCATGTGAGTGAATGCAGAAACACTGAGGACACACACCTTGGTGCCAGTCTTAGGGGATTAACTGTGAAGCCATATCCACAGACCATTAGGGATGTTGTTTGTCACCTCAGCTAGCTGAAAAGGGTGCCTAGAAGACAAATGGGATCTAGTTATTTATGTAAGTGTACTCAGTTGTCTCAATGCTTTTAGGTTACACAAGGAAAGACTGAGCAATTAGATAAGGTGCAGATAGATTGTTTAGTGTCTTAAGATCTGTTTCTCTGAATGCCTTGGTTCTGAATAAACAATACTTTGCTATGTGAAATCTGGACTGTAACCATCATTATCTCATCTCACAAAGAGGAGTACATTGGGCAGGGACTGAATCCTGTAGGGTCTTCTGAGACAGGTATGGCTGCAGAGCAGTGCAAGTGAGGGAGATACATAATTTCATTCAGGGAG